ATTCCTGCCACCAAGCCCTCTTCCTATCATATAGCCTGCAAATTTCAAAAAGACTGCAATGCACTTGCATTTCACTGTACCTTGTCAGAAGTCCAGTGCCCAGCCATGGGTGCAGGAATTTGTACAGGTACGATTTTTCTATATGTTTTGAACTGCTCAGAATAACCTGTCAGAAAAAATGAAAGGAGAGGAAAAAATATCACTTGTTAGATGGAGAGAGATTTCTTCAGCTGAGGTTACTTCACACAACCTCAGTTCCTCCACAAAAATGCCCTGAGCCTCAGTAAAATGCACAATATTTCAGTACCAGCTGGTACACAGGGGGAACATTGAGTTCACACCCCCAAGTCTTTCAGTAAATATCCCAATCCTGAGAAACAATTAAATACTCAAAAACTACCACTCCCCTTATCTTCCTCCTGAAAAAGAAAAATCTGTGTTACAAAGTCACAGGCAGAGATCACAGAAAACCCAAGTTTCCAGCCTTAACCAAACTCACAAGAAGTACCATCTCTTCAATAAACACTCCAACAAAGAAACAACTCTGTCTTTCCAGTTCAGCCACAATAATTGTCAGTAGCAAAACTAACAACTACATTTCATGGCATCAGGACAGACTCACCAAGTTCTAATGCAGAAGTCAGTCAAACAGACACAAGCATCGCAAGCTGCATTTCATAATGTTCTATCCCCATTTCAGTGGTCCCATCTTCCCTGCTATCTGCTTGTCCATTCTGAGCTTGGGAGCAGAAGCTTTCACACATGTGAAAACAAAGCTAAAGGAGATGCTTCTGTCTATAGAAGATACTGACTCAGTGCTTTCATTTGCTGGCCATCTTCAGTATTTATTTTTTTCCAAGACTAGACTTTTTATATTCTTCCAGTTTCAGCCTCCTTCAGCACTGGGTCAGAGGACACTCTCAAGTAAAATCAGTCCAAGTCTTTTTTTGCTAAAATTACATTGAGAGAATAGAAACTAACAGGTTGGACACTGCTTTGTACGACAGTAGAATAGACAGGAGACAAGCACACTCACCTCCACACTGCCAGGGTGATACAAAACCACGACAGGCAATGGTCCTATCCAAAGTTTGAACAATGGCCAACTCCTCAACTCTTCAACATAAACTTGTAGTTGTTTAAAAAAACCTGGAATGAAAAAAGCATATTAGAATTTTTTAAAAAGTGGTCTTTGCTGAATAAGCAAGACTGCTGTAACAAACTCTTCTTCACCATATGCCCTGTAATTATGTTTTTGCTGTAGTTTTATCTCGCTACTATAACCAAGCAGCATATTTTGCCCCTATATATTAGCTGTACTGCAGGAGCATTTCTCTATGGCTGCACTCTTGAAGGCACTCTATTCTAGACAAACCCCTCCCATCTGTAGATAAGGCAGTTTGATTTAAGCAGTCTCAAAGCACTGCAGCATGGGCCTTCTGTATTGCAATGCTCTTTGTAACAATTAGAGCCAAATCAAACTATATCAAGGCTATGCTTACATTTTGGCTTATCTGACACTAGCCAAAATGCTATGTCAAGACGATTCTTTACTTTCCAAGTACAGCATCAAACCTTTTCCCATCTGAGACCTCACTGACAGGTGCTATGTCTGTGGTGCACACACAAGTGATGTTGTGCACAGTAATGGCAGAGCACTGCTCAGGAACCAGCATCACTTGAAATGTCTCATTTCTGATAGCTGGACTCCTGAAGAAAATCTTTGCAGCCCTTACATAACTGTTATGGCCTGTCTGCAAACAAATTACTTCTTGCTCCAACATGCTTAAATCCTCTCACTCTCTCACAGCCCTAACCATCAGTGACAGTTCACAATTCTAGTAGGGGCTTTTGAGAGCTAGCTGCTCCAGGATTAAATTCCACTCTTGTCCTTTTAGAAACCTTACTGAAGTGTAAGTGACCGCTTACGGGGCCTCTGTGGATTTCGCAATTCAGATGTCCCCATCTCTAAGGGCACAAAGACTCACAGGATCATTTATGCCACAGACCACCTGAGAGATACCACTACTGTCCAGCTGCCAGCTGGATTTCATGCCAGTGAGCTGAGCAATCCAGCAAATTCTCCACCCACATTATTATCCACATATCCAGTCCGCATCTTATCAGTTTAGCTATACAGAAAGCATGGGAGATGTTATCAAAAGACCTCACCAAATCACATTAAGCACCATCTGCTGCTTTTGCTCACAGATCCAGCTATCTCATCACAGAGGGCAATGAGGTTAATTCTGCAATTCTAGAGGAGGTGGCCACTATCAGGATGTTCAAGGATTAAACATGCCTTTGCCCTTTCAGAAACCAGATTAAATAATAAATTACTCCCTCCAAGACCTCTGCAGAGTTGAAAATTCAGGGGCCCTCAAATCAAAGGGAGGAAAAAAAAAATCCCCCCAAAAATGAAAAAAAAAACCCTAGTTTCCTATTAGATACCCAAATACAGCATTCCCTAGTCTTAGGCAAATTCTAATGAAACCTCATCCAAAAGGTATCAGGTGTAAGAGTGTCAGATTATTTTGCTTTTTTTTTTTTAAATATTTTTTTCCTAACACCACCATGATTAAAATATCACAATTTTTCCAGCATTTGTCTACTGATATCAATAAATAAAATCTCCGTCAGGAGAAAAGTAATTTTTCTTTCTGCTATAAGACATTATCCTTTTTTCTAAAAACTATCTTTTTTAATTGTCAGATTTTTAGTGAAAAATATTATAAACCACAAACTTCACTCATTTTTACAAAATAAACAAGAACAAAGATGGATGGTCATGGACTTAACTAAAGCATGGAGGCTAGGTGACTCCTGCTAACAAAGGAGATTAGAGGCTCCATAGAACATGAGTCTCCTTCAGATTGCTTTCTGGAAAGAGAAGCAATGTTCTTTTTTGTTTTGTTTTTTTAAGAAGATTTAAAAAGAAGGAAAAAAAAAAGAAAAAAACCAGTTTTGTCTCTCAGTCAGGCTCATATAGCCATCCTGACCATGATCCTGCTACTGCTTCCCCAAAGTCAACTTCAGGGAAAGCTGCTTGCCCTCGCTTCCACCAAAGAAAGATCTCTTATATCTGTATTTAGCTATGGGGTTAGATCCAGAGGAAAGATGCAAGTGTGTACCCTTGTGAACAGAGCGACCATATCTCAGCATGCCCATGCCGTACTCGCCCTTGGCTTCACCACACTCCCATGATGTAGTCACGCTCTCTTCTGGCAGCATACCTGGCAGCACTGCCAAGAACGCGTGTGCACAGAGCGGACTGGCATAGACAGGCATCACAAACACACCCAGAAGAGTCTGCTGGTCCACTGACAGCACAGCCAGAGCCGCTTTCACACTACAGACTCCTCAAGAAATACACTCCTGTGCAAAACAGAGTACCAAACAGAAAGGGAACGTGTAGCACATTAGTGCTCTCCCAAGCACCTGGCAAAAAGAAGGTACCATCAATCAATGTGAGAACAGAAAGGTTTGCCTTTGAGGGATGTACGGCAAATACTCAGCAAGTTCTTTTGCATCTAACGCATAAATCTAAGGCACAGCTAATTCTGAAAATGACCCAGCAACTCAGCACACTAAAGTCCCTTGCATATGCTCACTTGGGGGAAGATAATTGTTTAAAGAACTATTTTTCCTTCGCAAGCTAAAAGCTTTGTTTGGATCACAGCTAACAGCCATGGGGACACAGTGCTTGATGCTGTGACATGACACGTCCTGCAAGAGCACCTAGCATGCCTCCCTGTCACAAAAACCACATTCCACAGCATTCATGCTCCACCTCACTGACAAGTGGGAAGGGGTCCGAATCCAGCATCAGCACCTGGAAGCCACTGTCAGATTGAACCTCCAGCTAATCTTTGACCGATAATAACCCCATATTTATGCAGTTCCTCTCCTTTCCCCTCCACTTCCCACTTCTCACACAGTTCCCCTCTGCAGGTTGCCCACAGCCCCAGAGAGACCTAAATGGCACACCCCCTACAACCCCCCGCAGCCAGCCACAGCTCAACCACCCAAGCAGCTCACCAGCCCTGGCTCCTCCAGCAAAGCCCCATGCAGTGCAGGGACCTCACAGCTGGGCTACGGCATGAGCTGCCCTTACCTTCTCCCTCCTGCTCCAGGAGTAGGGCATTTCCCAACACAGGATAACAGGGGCTGATACCCGGGATTGGCTTCATCACCCACCATTGCCTGCAGTAATCCATCAGGGAGGGCAGGGAGCGCACAGCCACAACCGTCAACAGCAGAGCGATGACCCCAGCCCCCAAGTGCAGCAGCTGGGGTGCCCCTGCGGCTCCCTGCACGACCTCCATCGCCACCTCCCAGCCTCCTGCTCCAAGCCTCGATCCCTACTGGGGCACCGGCACTGCCGTGCTGCAGCAAGCTCAGTGTGCCAGAACCCCGGCCACGAGAGCAGGAGGTGGAGCTGTCGCACAGGCCCCATGGCCCAACTTCCTGCCTGGAAAATAAACAAAGATTTAACAAACACGCACGCGGAGAGGCTGCCTGCAAGCGCTTTGTGACGGCAGAGCAGCCACAGGGAACGGTGCCATTTCGTTGCCCTCGCTTGGCAGCTCTGACTCAAGTGAGGAATGAGGAAGACCTTTGCAGGCCCATGCAATACCTGAGAAGGAAGACACAAACCGCTGTCAAGAGAAAAAAAACTTTTCTGCTTATTTGGGGAGGATGGGTTTTCTCAACACTGCCTTTCTCCACCCATTTTCATGTGCTCAGGGAACACCATTTTGCCATACGGAACTGCTCCAGTGCTCTCCAACATGATGCCTGAAGGGTTTTACAGTGCTTCACATGGGGGGGGGCATCTTTCTTAAGTTGGGTTAATGTCTCAAAGGGGTTACACAAACCAGAGGCCATACAGACCCACGATCAAGAAGAGCACTGCAAAGCACACTGATGCTTCTCTTCTCAAACGGCCTTTGCTGATCTCACTGCTGAACGCTCAGTCACAGGCTAAAGGGTGCCAGTAACGCGACTGGCAGCACCAGCACCCATATCACAGCTTGCAAAGCGCTTGGGTAGAAGTGGTGCCATACCCACCATAACCTCTGCTGCCCTTCCTGCCTCAGCAGGAGCCAGGGTGTCTTCTCAATGCCGCAGGGCTGCTGAGCACCTGTCCCTCAAAGCTTCCGATGCTCAGAAACCTTGTGGTCAAACAGAAGTTCAGTGAAATTGCAGCAAGGCTCACACCTAATTTGCAAAACTTCACCCTCTGAATATACCACAAAAGCTTCTTATAGCTATGGTCATGTTTCTCCTGTCTGTTTTGTACCAAAATTGACTGCACTGGCATTTTTAGTAAACCAAAACAGCAAACAGCATAAACAAAGCAACTAAGAAATGAAACACAAATAGAGAAAGCTCAGAACATCAGAATCTAAGGAAGGGCTGATGACCCAAGGGTCAGCAGAGGGGAGTAAATTTTGGCACTTTGTTCCTGCAATCTCCCAGCAAACCCTTTATCATAAATGCCGACTGTTGCATTTTTCTGCACAGTAAACAGCTGGAAATGAACTTTGCTACTCTTACTGTTACTTGAAAACGTTTGTGACAGAAAGCAGCAGATACATACCCTGTCTGGCGAGCACATAAGGCAAGCTACATGGCCATCGGTCCCCTCTTTTGTTCAGGTGACATCCCAGGAAGGAAGCAAGCATGCAGGATTAAGAGGCTCACCTTTTGTCTTTGTAACATAGAGATCAGCTGGGTAATTATACCCTTTTCTTTATAAAAAGCCTTGCAGTTTGTTGCTTTCATGAAGCTGATAATTAGATGAAGTGGTTAATTATGATTCTGAGTCAAAATCTGTGTTTCTAACAGCTGATAACTCCTCTGCAGGAAAAAAAAAGAAAAACAGTGAAACAGCAGGGACAGGGTGAAAAGCCAGAGGGAAAGCAGTAGGGAACACAGCAGAACAAACACTGCAAAATCCTGCCAGCAGCTGGCAATGGTGATGCTGATACTAACAAAAGGCAGCAGCTACACTGGAAGGAGATATAAAAGATATACCCAAGAAAGAAGAAATAAGAGGTCTGGCGTCTCTGAGGCCTAATTATGTCACCAAGATTTGCAATCATTACGAACCTTTACTCTAAGTTTCAAAGGAGGATGTTCTATAGGAGAGGCACACATCTATCACCAGAGTTTTCTACCAGACTGCGTTTAGCATTCCTTTTTCACCTGGAGAGGTATTTGCTCAGTGTTGGGTTTCAGCAGGCACCCTACCGGTTAGTGAATCTGCTTTTACTCAGCCTCACGCCTAAGTGGAAGCCTATCTGCCCGTGGTGACAGAAGGCACGCAGCCTGTCAGGCGGCTATGTCAGCCCACAAGCACGATGGTGCAAGAGACTGAAAGACTTAATGTATGTTTACATCTCAAACATCACGTCGAGACAAGTTAAGGTCTCTGTAGCGACAAATTAGGGTCTGCATAACAACACTAAACCACAGGTGAGAAGCCGATTGCCACAGAGCTGGGAAGGTGTGTCTGAGGATGCACAGTTCTGCCTTCTGATGTCCCTTACAACTCACCATATGTGGCCAGAGGTCATACAGAGTTTGTTTGAGGAAGGGGCTCACGACCACCCGAAAGACCCCTCGCAACCACCCCCCACAATGGCACCTGCGCAGAAGATCAAGAACATTCTGGAACAAGAACCGCACAAGTCCTCAAGGGGGAGGGATCGGCGCGATTGAGAGGTGGGAGCTGGTCTATAAAAGACACAACTCCAAGGAGCCACGTGCACACCCGCTACTGGAGGATTGCCATGTTTACCATCAATGTTGTGGGATCCAAGGGTGGTGGTATCTCTCTCTCCCCCCCGGCTTTTCCTCTTTTTTTTAACTTTCTTCTTATAAGTATTCCAATTAGAACCCACGTTGCCTACCATTACGCTTTTCTTGTTCAGGTTGCCTACCATTATGCTTTCCAAGTTCAGGTTGCTTTTTTACCATCAATAAAGTGTTTAGTCAATCATTTGGTGTTGTTTCACCTTAATTCAGCCCAAGGGAATCACAGAAGCGACATGATCTTCCCTGGGCAGCCCAGTTTGGATTGTGGCAGATGGTAACGCAGGCTTCTGCTGATCCCTAGAATGCAAGTCTGGATTCTTTAATAAGGAAATTGATGAAATCATTGTTACCAGCAAGAAAAACAAAAAAGCAAGGCTAAAATGGATCTTATTCAACAGAAGGACAAAAGAGAAGTACACAAAACATTCTGAAAAGCTGTGGTGTGCTCTTTACACTAGTCCTGTGCTCCAGCCAAGACACCTGATGTTTTTGTCATCCCTTGCACAGCACATAGTGTCCACAGCAAGCAAGACTAACAGGTTGCTAACTTAGCAATCACTACAATTAATTTGCAGTTAGGAAGGGCTTTTCTTAGGACGATCTTCCCTCTTCTCAACATACACATTTACATGATTAAACTTTATGTACGGAACAAAACCAAAGTCAATTTGTAGTCCACAACCACCACCACCTGCACAAAGATAAGATACCACAGCATGTCTCCATTTGAAAAGACACTGCCAGTGCTGAACAGCTCAGAGATCTCCCCCATCCCCAAAACCCAGGCTTCAAAGCCTGAAGCCTGATAAAGACTTCAGCTTCAAATCCTTCTGTGGATTATCTTTCCTCACACAGGTAAAGAAGATTAACAGCATTTGAGAGACAGAGACCACAGCTATATTTTTCAGAGACAGACTGATTGCTGTGATGCTCACCTCAATCAAGCATATCTTGCTATGGTTTCTGCAACCTGGTGTTCACTGTACAGCAACAATTGCTCTGTTCTGTTGTTCTGTAGTCATCATTTGGAACTCCTTCACAATGTGAAGTTTTGTGTGAATGAATTATCCCCAACAGAATACAAGAGTTCACGTCCTCTTTAAGAAATCAAAATCTTCCATGCCAGGAAGATGTATGCCAGGATAATAACAAGCCTTGCAACAAAGGAGGTTGCAGCTTGGGCCACCATCCATCCCCAGAACACAGCCTACTGTTATAAAGCAATTCTGATAATGCACCAGTGATGCTGTCATAACTAACAGACATTAGTACTAAGTAGCTATCAAAGCATCACACCTATGTTTATTCATCTATGTGTCAAGGAAAAAGTGTACTCCCAAGTTGGATGGCCATGACTCGCCCAAAGGTCACGGCTGGAGATTCTGCCCACTGGTCCACAGTTTGGCTAGATCCTATGGGGCCTCCTCCTTGCTAAACTCTAGCAAGTTTAAAGAAAGCATTTAGCGGCATGCTACACATTACATGAAACAAGCCAAAGGTCATGGAACATGAATAAAAAGGTCAGTTTAAGATCTGGAAGAACTTGTGACAGTGGGTCACAGAAACACGCAAGACTGCAAATCTGCCTACCTGCACTCCTGCAACATGGAAGATTTGGTGTCTCTAGGAAATTCATTGTCCATGTTGGATGTGCATGCATATAGACAGTGATAGCTGAACAGCCTGTTAGAAGCTGTGGTGGGTTAGCCTTGGCCAGCAGCCAGACACCCACCCATTTGCTCATTTATTCTCCTCTCCCAAGAGGACAGGGAGAGAAAACAGGATGAAAAAGCTCATGGGTCAAGACAAAGTCTGTGAGATTGCTCCCTAGTTACCATCATGGGCAAAACAGACCGAGCTTGGAGAAATTTAGTTTAATTTATTGCCAATTTAAAATAGATACTTGGGAAGTCAGAAACAAAGACAAAAAACTCCTCTCTGCTGCTCCCTCCTCCTCTTCCTCACACTTTTTTTCCTGCTCCAGCACGGGTCCCTTCCATGGACTGCAGCTCTTGAGGATAAACCTGCTCCAGCATGGTTTCTCCATGGGCTACTGGGGAACCTCTGCTCTGGTGCCTGGAGCACCAACTGCTCCTCCTTCACTGACGTTGGTGTTTGCACTGCTGTTTCACTCTCTTTTCCCCCCCTTCCCTTCTCTGTCTGCCCAGCATTTTTTGTACCCTTTCTTAAATACATTTTCACAGAGGTGCCACCAGCTTGGCTGCTGGGCTCAGCTCTGTCCTGCTGTGGGTCCATTACAGAGCCGGCAGGAACCGGCTGTGTTGTCTTCACTGGCCTTTTCTCACAGAGGCCACCCCAGAAGCACCCCTGCTGCCAACACCTTGACACCTACACCTAGCTGAAAAGCCTACCATGAAACCACTGCAAGACTGAAGGGGAAAATGGGGGTGAAATTTCCTCCACATTGCCCCCTAGTGAGACCAGAGACATCATCAAAGTGATGGCTACATGCAAACTATCAACAACATTAAATATCTGGAAACCGTACGGGTGCCTTCCCTTACAATTTCCAAGGAAGAATCGCTCAGGCCTGAAATCCTCTGGGTCAGGGAAGATCTTGGGGTCTCTGTGCAGGGCATAAGTTGCAACAAGAATATTTCTGCTTTTTGGTACTTGATATCCTCTTGAGGAGGAAAGGGAAAGGGAGGAGAAGGGTCAGAACAACAGCAAATAAATGGCTTTCTATAAACTTCTTCACAGTAAAAAAAGAGAAAAAAACCTGACCTTTACTTGGGAAACCTTCTCAGTGCTCTCTCTCCTGCAGACCTTCCAGCACCCTTCCCAACCACCTCTAGCTACTGAAAGCTCCAGGATAGACAAGACATGTTCCTACCACCACTTCTTCAACTTTGATAAAGGAGGAATGGAAAACGTACCAAACACCTCATCCAGTTCTCTGTGAACCTTCTTCTGGGCTTCAGGATTATGTCCAAGTAAGTACAGGGCCCAGTTCATAGCAGCTGCTGTTGTATCATGGCCCTAGAGGTCCAGATTTATAAAGACATTCACTTCAACAACATTCCTGTCCACAAGTAGGCTTCATAAATACTCAGGTGTGCAGGTAGTATGGAAAGTGAGCCTTATTAGTCCCATGACCACGAGAAAAACAAAAATCAAGAGTGAAGAACTCTGACACGCTGATTATCAGCATGTAAGATGATCCATGATTTTGTCAGGTGCCCAAAAACTTACCAAAACAGAAAAGTGTGAAAATACTTCTAGTAGCCAGCAAATATCCCTCTTCCCTCTCCTTTGCCACCTGAAAGCATTCCATTGCTGCTCCAGTAATTAACAGATATTTCCTTTCCTTTTAAGCTGCAGAAGCAGATGCTCATTGCTTTGCTCTTCTCTCCATTCAGAAATACAGTGACTGAACTCCATCACTTCGCAGAAGTCAGCAGTATTCTCTCTTTCACAGTGCCAGATGATGAACCACTCTTCACTGTGTGGTTCCCACTTCTGCCATTATAGAACCAAAATGGCGCATATTCATCTTTTCATTTAGTCCACAGCGTAAGATCTGGATTGCCATGAAGTGCCACAAGATGGTAAGGGACACATTTTGCCATTGTTTCTCTGCATTCTTGTCAATGTACAGGAGGGAGCACTCACGACAACAAAACTACATCGAATTGACCTGCAACTGTATGAAATCGACCTGCAACTCCAAAGCAAAAGCATTCTGCTTTCTCAGATAACTATACCGCAGTATCACCAGTGAGTAAACTTAGTGTAGCCAAAGAAGAAAAATACTAAGCCAGGAAAATAATTTAAAAATACTTTCATTTACTCAAAAGAATGCAGTGCTTGATGACCATTTACAAAAACCAGAACTCTAATTAACAGTAGAGATATAAAATATACATTACAAATGCTTTGCCTTGGATTACCAATCCTTGAACATTCATAGCAAGAAGTGAGAACTGGTATTAGTCCCCAGGTAGAAGAAACTGATTCTATTCTTAACTGCACAATTTGGGCAAATAAGTTTTTCCTCTTCCTCCCTTTCCCCTTCAACAGCTCTTCAAACACATCTATTTAAACTGCTGGCTCTCTGATGGAAGGATGAATCCCTGACTGCAAATGCACACAGTACTAATAGCCAGGGACCTGATGAGGGCTGCCATCTCTGGGCCAAACACAATCCCGATCTCCTCTTCGATCTTCCCATTTGGGTCTACACAAAGAGGCGTGAAATAATGCTTTCATCAGTTAAGTACATATTTTCACATTAAAACTCTGAAGGCTCAGGTATTTCAAAATAAGATAAAATATTGTGTGTTATTGTACAAATTAATAAGAAATCTCAAGAAGTGGGAATGGTATTACTGACTTGTCAGCATGCAGGTTCAATTGCTCAGCATCTATAAACATTCTTGGCCTGGCAGAGAAAACATTGCTTCCTGTAAACAAAGTTTATCCCAGCAGTTCCCATAGTTACTGACAATTAGAACAGCATAAGTAGAAGCAATGAATGAATTCCATCTCAAAAGAATTAAAGGAAAAGTAGGGACAGACAATATTTACAAGAGAGCAACTGCAATAACCAGACTGAAAAATGTAGAAATGTTAAAACAGCAGTTAGAGAGGAGATACCATAAACTCCTGTTTAAAAGTATAAAGTTTATATACGATTGATGTTTGGATAGAGTAGAACATCTTTAATACTAAGGAAACATGAAAAACTGGGAACAGGACTTCATGGCCTAAACATAACTTATTTGCTTCTATAGGTAGAATAACAATTACCTAAGGAAAGACAGAAAAGGGAGGAATGCCTGAGAAGAAAGTGCAGCAGCAGCATCTTGACTTCGCAAAGAGAACAGACACCTCAACCATTTATTTCATTTTGCTCTAATTTTTAATCTAACCCCTGGTCAGACAACTTTAAAAGAAGGCAACGCAGGCATCCTGAGGATTGCAAGGCTCAGCAGAAACCAGCATACTACACATGTTCTTTGTTACACACGATACTAGCTGGCAAATTTAGCACTTCAGTCTTCCGTTCAGTGCAGGGTGTTTCTGTTTCTTCCTAAGCTGGGTTAAGAAGCAATCTGAAATCTCTTCCTTGAGGTTGGAGGATTTCTCTGAAAGGATCTGTAGTAATGCTGTGAGCCTAGAAAAGATAAAACATTGTTTGTTAATTGCGGTAAAATCTGAAAGACACTCCAAGATTATGTATGAGTTACTTCCATCAGCCTGCTCAGATCAGTGTGTGCTAACCTACCCTACATCACCTTCTATATAATTATACTAATCATATAATTAAACTCAAGGAACTTCCAAACAAATACAGGTTATGTACAAGCACTCAAATACCTCAGGAACTAGCTAGTCAGCTTTATTGTAACAACGGAACTAAATAAGCCATGTAGGGCTGCTTTCTTTTTCGGTGTTACAAATGGAGACATAATTGCAAATCAATATTGATTTTTTAATTTATTTAACAGAGCTTTAGACTTCTGTTAAAAATGCATATTTTCTATTTTATTTTTCCCCACATAAAAAGTTAACTAATTAGGTGAATTTATATGGGGGCTAAAACAAAATTTATGTCATGAAACAGTTCATAAACATGTATTTATGTCGCTACTCTAGCAGCTGCAAAACATCTAGCCTGTACACCACATACTCTTGCCATAATTGTAAATACGCTGAAGCCTTTAAAAAAAAAATAAATAAATTCAGGAGGGGGAATCCTTTTCCTTCCACATCTCACAACAATGAAAAGAAGCTTTGCAGGGTTCCTAACAGTCAGTTAGGGCTATCTCAGACCAAGTGAGAAGAAACTTCAAAACCAAACTCAAAAGATCCTGCCAAGCACACCTGTTCTTTTATGCCAAGATGGCTCTCCCTGAGTACTTCTTGACTCTATGGGTTAATAGGTTTTGTTGGCCTTTTGCCTTCCAAGCGATTCTTGCTTTGCCTACCTATTAAAAATCTGTGACCTGTTCCTCTGTGATTAGCAAAATCCATGGGAGTCAGTGATCTCTTCTGAGGCGTGTCTGTCTGTAAAAAGGAAAGTCGTACTATTAGCTAGTATGGTACGCTTATCTACTGAAATGGTTTGGTTACAGTTTTTACGATCTAGTCCAGCAGAATGAGTCCTACCAAGCTGCAAAGCTCCAAGCAGTACTAAAACTGCATGCTTCTAGTTCATAGACACCCTCAAAGGAACTGTTTCATGCATCAGACTTGAAAAAAATCTCCTCATACACTAGTCCTGCTTTTCAAGGTCCCACACCCTCCCAAAACGTTTTAACATCCTCCTCTCTACAGGTAGCAGGAATCCCTGTACACCAGGAATCAGGAGAGAGACAGTAAATGAGACCTGTAGACCAACAGTGGGCATGAACAGAAGCTTCTTCACTTTTCCATGTCTCTATACTTACCTTGTAACATACCCTGAATGTGTGAGTTGTGTTGGGCCTTGAAAATTGATCAATAACAACAGTTTTTTCTCTGAGCAGCCGTTGCTCTGTACTGCCAGGCACTGCACTTGACACTCTGCTATGAGCATAACATCCTCGATGCTGACAGAATTAAAAAGAGCATTGAGACAATGCAGCAACTGAATTGCTTAAATTAATAATTTTTCCATTGCCATTCAAAAAAAACACAAGAAGAAAAGAAAAATACGTTTTCACTAATCAAAAGCACCAATTTAAGGTAACTTAAGGGTACTCATGTTCTTCAAAGAGATTTGAGACTGTTCCCTGATATTAGTCTGTAATCCCCAAAGGCTTATATTAATTAAAATAATAATAAACTTCACATGTATCTCAATTCAAAATATTATTCAGAAGCAAAATAATATCAAAATGTCAATTTACTTTCATTGTGGTGATTTATTACTTCCCTATCCTTCAAAAATAGGCCAGTATAAATAAGATTTATCTTTTTTTTAGTCAGTATCCTTTTCTACTTCAGTCAGCATAATTTTCTACTTCTTATAACCTAACATTAGTGAATAAAACACTGAAAAGAGCTATTTAAATCCAGATGCATGTAAGTGCAAGGTTACTATCTGGTTGGTTGTTTGGTTTTTTTTAAAAACAAACAAACAGATTTTTCTGTTTTCAGAGGAAGGTCTTACCACCATAATCTGTTTGTGATCTGAGGTTTTAAACTGGCTTCTCTTGCATTCTAACTGTACCCCAATGTAACACATGTTAGCATGTTAACCATGTATTAAAGATGAACCAACACAAACCATAAAATTGCTCATTTCAACCAGTGACACAGAGCAATTTATTTCCAAACAGCTTGAAGTTCTTCACCAGTACAAAAATGAACACTACTTACAGAGCTCTGCTGCAATCGAGGTACTGGAAGATATTGTTCAACACCCTCTGAGTTTATTGGTGGTAACTTGTTCCGGCTTGTAGGCGCACAAGCAGAAGATAAATGATCCAGGCTGGCACCCCTACAGAATTTTAAGGGTTCCTCTTTTAGGAAAAATCATATTAAAGGCTTCTTCACTGAAGTAATATGAAATTATTGAGCAGTACATTTCTTTATAGAGCTCAGCTACAGAAAGTAACAGCACCCAATATAGCAATAAAAAAAATAAAACAAATGCCTCTCCTCAAAAAACACGGTTCTGCTTGCTTTCTTTTCCTCTCTGAATTCTAGAATCAACAATGAATCTTGGGTTAGTTCTCAAGTATTTTGCAAAATCCTTCACTGGTGAAATTTCAGTAAAATTCTGAGGAAAGCAAAGAATAAAATGAAAAAACTCACAATTTAGTCCCCCTAAGGATTTCATCATTGTACATATTAGGAGCTTTTGAGGAGAGTTGGTCAGAAGTGAGAGAAGGTAACCTACGATGGCTTGGTAGCTTCCTAGAAGATGCCAGCAGTACCCGAGATGATGAGAGAACACTGTTATCAGCAATTCTCCCCAACCTAATGTGCACTGAATTTGGAGCACTGGAGCCAATGCTATGCTGTTTGTCTTCCTGCTCATTCCTAGGGAAAAAGAAAGGAGATGAGATAGGGAACGAGGATGAAGGGGGTGGGGGGAGTAAAAGGATTTCTTAACAGAATATCATTGCCACCTCTACAAATCATTGTCACATCAGTGACAGACAAAGGAGATAACTGCCTATTGCCTTTTTATAATTGCAAAACATCTTCTACATAATATGAATTATGCCGCATTTTGAAAATGTCAATACCAACACCTACTGTATTTTTTCTACTGTGGCAACATGCCTCTGTTGGAGTGGTTTTGCTTGAATTGTCATCACACCATTCAAATCACTACAGAAGTTGCTGGAGAAACGATGAACCTAGTAAAAGCAACAAATATGCATTAACCTTCAGCTTTTTTTGAAGACCTCAAAAAGCCCGTAGTTAGGAGATGTTTCATTTGTTAGAAAAGTTTCTGTTAAGATGGCTCAGTAGAATTCTCAGTAGTAGATGGGGCAAATATGCTGTTTTGCTTATTTTAAACAGATTCTTACAAACAGAACTCGGGTAATTTAGTTATTAAATTGCAACGCAATTTGCAATATGTTTCAGTTGAAGCCGGAGTTCGATTCTCCAAAGTTTCCATCTTCCCTCAGCACAGTCCAACCCAGGGGCACGGATCCTGAGCATTACTTGTCTAAGCATTTTACTACTACTGGCTGCTGGGAGCACTACAGAACCAAGCGTGCCAGCAGGGAGCACCAAGGCTGCTGTGCTCTCTCTTCTGGGTTTCTTATCTTGCTACCTAGCAAGCATGGAAAGAGAGCAGACAAAATAGAGTGAAGTTGCTTGAACTGAACAAAGAGAGAAGGGGCGGCGGGGAACAGAAGCAGTGGCTGGAAAAGAAAGAATGTGCAAAACGGGAGCCAGGGGACAGAGGGAGGAGGTGGTAAGTGGGACAAAAAAGGGGCATTTTATCAATACAAACACAAGCTTCCATAAAGAGAGGTAAGGCCTAGTGCCAGCACGCTGGTGGATGTACAGTAGAGTCCCCTTTTGCAAGAGGCAAAGGAAATGAAAAGGAATGAGCGTCTGAAACCCACAGGGTTGCAAGTGAAGCACTTTAAGTTGCAACTTCACACCCCTGCAGTGCAGGGAAGAGCCTCATTTGTTTTCTTAATTCTACCAAGAGGAAATGACTGGACCACAATAAAAGCAGAATTCTTTTCTAAGGATGGAATACAGTCTAACAAGTGATTTTTTGTAAACCAGCTTCATCAATATCTTAGTGGTAAACGGCACCTTTAAGAACCACCAGAGAAGAACAAGTGATAGTAAACATGAAATGTTAGCAGAGAAAAGAACAACATTTGATGGAAAGTTATTTTTACCTGCGAGGAAACAAAATGAGACCCAAAAGATACACTTCGTGCTTCAGAGCCTCTGGAAAGAGGAATGTTCCCAGCATCTGCTGTAATACGAACAACTGGCAAATGTGGCAGTTTTGCCGTAACAGCTTTCAGTTTTTCCACCTGTTTGTCACCCAAAAAAAAAAAAAAAAAAAAAAAAAAAAAAACAACCAAACAAAAAAACCCACACAACAGGAAATAACTTGCTTTTTGTACATTTACCAGCCATCATTTGTCGAGATTCAAACAATATTACACTGCACAGTAAATAAAGACTTTCATATAGTTTTAAGTTTACATGATATTTAAAAATCTACCATAAACAATGTTTTTCTGAAAGCATTTCCACTTGTTCATGCTTTCTCTGACACTGACAAACAAGTTGATCTATGCAAGTAGAGTTGAGGGGTTTTCTTGTTTGAGAAAATACTGCTAAGACTCTTGGAATGTTATTCAAAATTTCCCAAAGATTTTTTTAAAGCAGAAAAAAAAGATGAACAGAAAAAAGAAAAAAGTCGTCTATTAATCCTATCTTTGCCTGACAGCACCTACACATGGTTTCATTCTGGGTATATACCATCTTCTTATTTCTATTATAAATGCAAATTCTTTTACATTCCTAGCCAAAATACTTTGGTTAGCTATCTATTTGTCGTAAGTTGATGCCCTTCACAAAGATAAAAGAGCACGCCTATCACAAAACTGCTAAGCTATCCTCCCTAAACTATAATATTGAGCTAAACAATCCACCTTTTATATTTCAGTAACACCTGAAAATGTTAAGTTCTGATGCTGCAAGTTTTCTGAGAAATTTTACCATTTCTTACTTTGTTGTAGACTTTTATTTCATGTTTAGTGTACCTGACATGTGAGGTGATTTCCAAAACCCACCCCCAAGTATTCTTCTGTTATTGTCCTTTTAAAATATGTTAAAAAAGAACCGAAATTTCCCTCAGCCTATAAAGACAACACATGCACACTAAACAGAATTTCACTTCTAGTTAATTTTCCTAGCTTTTGCTTTTCTTCACTACAGTCTGTTAGAATACAAAACCATAAAATAAAATAAAATTGTATGCATCACTATTTCTTCATCTATATTAAACTTATGAACTCCTGCACTGCCAGCAAGGCTGTCTATCTCACTTTACCAATCTGACTACCTAAGGGTTCTTTTTATTAACAAAGCTCAAACAATGAGGACTAGGAGACTTCGCTTCATAGGTTCCAGGCTCAGATCACGTCATCAGTGATCCCCTGCTAACAGCATCAATTTGCATCCTGAGCCAGTGATTCATATTCTATTTAAAAAAAAAAAAAATTCTCCCCTGCAATGAAGCTCTTTCAGTCTTCCCTTTTTTTTCTTAAATTCTTCCTTTTTTTCACCTCATACAAAACTCCCTGAAAAATAGTAGGAATATATACGGGGGGGTGCATGTGCGCATGGCAAGGCATTACATACAATCCTGTGCTACCAACATGACTATCTTAAACAGATTTCCCAAGCTTTAAGAAAAGAAAGGGGAAAAAAAAAAAATTTCCTAAGTTAGATTCAATAAATACCATATCTAAAAATATCAAATACCTGTGATACTAGTTTCCCATTTTTTTTTAATCAGTTCCTCCAATATTCCAATTACATTGCTCCAGATACAATCAAATATTTCAGAAGCCACGGCATCTTTGATACAGGCATTGGGAGAAACAGGGGGAATGCCACGCTTACTCCTCTTCTCAGCAAGATGCATTTTCTTTTGTTCCCAACTCTCATCATCACTAACAAAGGAAGCAAATTCAAATGAGTTCCCATAGGTTTTGACTTTTTTTGTCCCCTTCTAATACACTGAATGAACAGAAACATACATATGGAAGAAAAGCAAGTCAGATGTAGGTCACAACAACAACAACAAAAAAAAATTCAAATGCACAAACTACCTATGGGAACAGAACCTGTCGAATATGTATAATGATTTCCTTTTCCTTTCCTTGCAGGTAAAAAATTAAAAATCCAGTCAGGGCATTACAACAGAAAGATCTGCAGCTCTAGAAGGAACAGCTTTATATGTGTCACTGAAGTGATTTGAGACTAAATCCTGTAACATAAGAGAACTATTGTCTGTTGCATTTGGCAGGACTATCAGATACAATATTTCTTTTATATCACATCCTGTGTACCTGCAACACATCTGCAAAACTTCACCACTGATCAAAGACAAACAATTTTAAAGGATTTCTGCAGCCTGACAAGAATAGTAGAGTCCATAGCCTTATGTTCATCTCCTTCCCTTCCGCTCCTGTGTGCACAGTTACTTCCCTCCCCCCTCCCCCCGCCCCTACCTAGGGAAGCACAGTGTAGCAACATTTCCTAACTTGGTCTTCTAATACACTTCTTAAGAAAAGAGGTTAAAATTTTCTTCCTTTTTTTTTTTTTTTTTTTTTAAAAATGCCATGATATTTCCTTCTAAGAAAATGCAATTTTTTTGAGATTTCAAGGATGACCCAGATTCATACTGGTTTATACTATCTCCCTTTCTCCTCTCAGTCACTTCTTTTACTTCTTCTTCAAACTGGACTGCTAACTTCTTAACTGTAACTAAGACTTGGCTGAATGGTCCAACTCGCAAAATGACCAAGCTATTTTCGTCTCAGGCTTTGTAACTCCTGATGTTTTAGTTAAGGAGAATAAGATATTTCAGAATCAAATCCTGAGAAGGAAACAAGAAACAACGTATCAAGGAGGCACAAAGGAAAGCACCTTCAGTCAAGTCCCTTTCCCAAATTAAGTTTGCCTACTTAGCAAAGCAAAGTGATACTTCACTCCTAGAAGGATTCTTAATCCTAAATGCTTTCCAAAACAGTAGGCACGCAGGCCCTCTCTTTCAAAAACAAGACTGAAATGGTTTACCTGGATCTCAGTCTGGTTTCCCAGTTTTTCAAAACAACCATGTCTTTTTCCTGTAAATGCATCAAGCTTTAGCACAAAAATGTACACTTTGTGCCCTACTAGTCCTACAAAACTGTCCCTCTCATAGAGGCCTTTCAGAAAACGGCACGTTACGGTCTTTATTCTACCCAGTAGCCTAGTTGCTGGAACATTCAACTGGGCCATGGGAAACCGAGGTTGCATTGTCAAGAAGACAGTTGCATTACTCCTGTCATTCACGAGAGCACTCTAAATGCAGGTTGCATCCTGCACCTCTCCTCAGAAAACTGCTATACACTGCACAAAAAGAATTTAAGATTCATTAGGGCAAACAATCAGAGCACGTACAGCGTAATGACCCTAAACAACCTGATGGTCAAGGCACTCACCTGGGTAGTAGGGATTCCTTCCTCACTCCCTGTCTCAAAATTAAATATTCATTCTATTGAATCTCCATGCACAAAACACCTCCAAACAACTAGTGGTTAAGACATATTCCTCTGACATGGGAGATGTGAGTTTTGAACCACTAGAAGGACAACATACCTAATCTTCCACATGCCCAGTGAGTACTCTGACCACTGTGCTACTGAATACAGGGACAGAAGGAACTGTATTTTACAGAATAGAAACACAGTTTATGAACCCTGACTGGGCTCACTGATAGTTTTTCATTATTTTCTTCAAAAATACATATATCTGTTATTTACAGCTCCGTGTTGTCAAAGGCAAGATATTCTTCTATTTTTCCATCCACATCGTAGATTTCTTCTTCTAGGAATGAATACATGGATGAGTCAGAGGCAGAAATCCTAGCGGAACTTGAATGTAGTGTTTTAGATATTGGAGATGATGTTGGGATCAGTTTAGAGCCTGAAATGCAGAGCCTGAAAAAAACATGAACAAAATAAGAATTAAACATTCAAAGAAAGAAGAAAGTGCATATTTAATTATACTGAAATGTTTCAGTAATACAAAAGTAGTATTTGTACATATTTCTGAAGAGGGAAGACCAAAAAGAAAACTTAAAAAAATTAACATACTCTTTTATATTACTAGTACATTCACCGAGGCCAGGTAAACACTTAGTGTCCACAGAAGTATCACTTCTGCTCTGAAAATGCTGAAAGCCTTCATCCTTCGGCAATAGCAGCTGCTTTCCTAGAACCCTGAATAAAAAGAAGAGAACGCAGTATCTTAGATGGAAATCCACTCCCTATGCAAATATCAAGGATACAAATACCTGCAAACAGTGGGCAATGCGAAAGCACAGCTTACATTTGCTTTGAAAAAGCAATTTCTGGAGGGGCCAGGGCCTTGTGTAATACATGAACATTGCCTAGTATTTAAGTCATCAAAATTAAGCTGATTTATGCAAAATGAGATTCTTTAAGAGTTTAAAAAAAGTCAAACTTGTTAGATTGTTCTAAAGGCTGATAAAGTAAACACACTTCCTTTCTTGTCAAAAACTCTGTACGAAATGTTTAAAAACAGATGCAGAAGACAAATAACATCTGCTATAACTTCACTTATCCAACTCCAGTATCCATCAATGTGAGCAGAAGTCCTAATCCAAAATGTTTACATGGATAGTTAAGACTAGAATTAATGTTCAGAAAATGCACAGAGGCAGAGAGAAAAGGTAAAAGCAACTCTATTTAAAGGTACTCTATAAATTACTCTATAAAATAATTTCTGAACACAGTACAGGTGAATAATCACTGCCTTCTGAACTGTGTTTCACTAGAATTCACAAGGGATCTTGAAAGAATTTGCCACTCACAGCTGTAGTGCAAGCAGCAATGTTCAGACTCACTTGAACACCTTTTCTTGAGACTACCTTTCACAAAACAGCAGCTTATGCCACATGAAGCTCTAAGCAATAGCCTTTTTTACTTTTTATAAGCCAAGAACAAAAAGCTTTCTCTTTAAATAGATCTGATATTTCTCTTACTGATGACAGTTCTCAACTATATTTACTCCCACAAGCTAAGCATTCACGTATCAACATAGCTGTTTTACAAACTGAAAAAAAAGGCCAGCCAGCAAGCTCTTTGAAGCACAACTCTCAGAAATAAATCTGGCATCCCAGAAGCTATTCCTTTGAGTAACTACTCAACACAAACTGAGTTTAAGCTTAATAATTGTCGTGGTTTAACACTAGCCAGCAACTAAGCACCACGCAGCCACTTGCTCACTCCCCCTGCCCCAGTGGGATGGGGGAGAGAATCGGAGGAGTAAGAGTGAGAAACACTCCTGGGTTGAGATAAGGACAGTTTAATAATTGAAATAAAATAAAGTAAAATAGTAGTAGTAATAACAACAATAATGTAATAATAATAATACACAAAGCAAGTGATTCACAGTGCAATTGCTCACCACCCACTGACCAATACCCAGCCAGTTCCCGAGCAGCAATCGCTGCCCCCCAGCCAACACCCCCCAGTTTATATACTGAGCATGACGTCATATGGTATGGAATAGCCCTTTGGGCAGTTTGGGTCAACTACACTGGCTGTGCCCCCTCCCAGCTTCTTGCTGGCAGAGCATGGGAAGCTGAAAAGTCCTTGACTAGTGTAAGCGGTACTTAGCAACAACTAAAACATCAGTGTGTTATCACATTATTCTTATCCTAAATCCAAAACACAGCACTATGCCAGCTGCTAGGAAGAAAATTAACTCCATCCCAGCCGAAACCAGGACAATAATGAAAATGACTTTTTTTTCTTTTTAAGCCACAGGAAGTACCACGTTCCTCAGTACCAAATGACACAGAGCTCCCAGATTTCTTCAGTTCGCTTTCAACCTTTTGGACTTGGTTGGTATTGCCAACATTAGATTTGAATCAGAAAATCGTAAGTACAGGGAATCAGTTACTTAAAAAAATTCTCTGAAAATACTCTGAACATATAGTAAAATGACCTAATATTTTGAATGAATTACACAGCACAAAAACCTGTTTCCATTTTATGCATGTTCTATTAATTTTACAGTATCTAAAAAAGGCAAAGCATGCCTTAATGCTAGTGAAAATTGCCTCAGTTTTATTTAACAACTCTCTTGTTCCTGACAAAGTGTGACAAGCTTTGTTTGTTGATTTTATATTTACTAGTAACAAGCCACTGCAAATTATCTAAAAGCACTGAAAGCACACCACAGTTATTGACAGTGTTCTCTTTAATGGTGTTAAACTATTGACTAGAAGATAGACACATGCAGGTCTATGTTTAGAACAGCTTAGAGCCACGACATCTCACTAGAAATGACGTGCCATCATTTATGAAGACAGGACAGCACAACACAGTGCAACACCGACTTCTGTCCTCTGTGTTATAAGAAGCAGTCATCAGGCTGCCTAGACATTTTGCACATCTATGCAAAACAATTCTCATTAATCACGTATGCATCCTCATATCTGTTCAACTAGTTATTGTTGGGTTAATATCACATATTGTTTTACATTGATTTACATAGCCTAGGAAGACATGGCTGTGCAGTATATGTGAAACGTGGTCGCCTTCATTTTTCATTTCTTTTTAGAAGAATCAGTAACAGAATTAACACTGAATTTCTTGGAATTTCACAGTATGTCTTCATTTACAGTAAAAAAAAAAATTCTTTACAAGATGTATGCTTTATTTAGAAAAGGTCATTACAAAAATGGTGCATTATTATTTTCTTATTACATCCTGCTAAAATATCTGTCTGCAATCACTGTATTAAGCAAAATAAAGAGCATTAGCTGCTAGTGTGCCACCACCCAGACTTAACTGCATAACTATGGCACAGCTCAGTCCCAGAGATCCAGATTTGAATGCAAAAGTGTTATTGATGCCATACATCAAGAGCAGTTCCTACGAGGGTACCCCAAAAATTCAAATTAGAGTGATAACTGGTTAAAACTAGTACCACCAAGAAATTCCCTTACCTTAGGTGAGGAAATTGTTCAACCCAGTCTGCACATTCTGCCTGCAGGCTCTGAGTTTGGGACGTCACTTTTCCTTCAAACAGCATTTCATCAATCTCCCAAAGTAACTGATGCACTCTCTGTGTGTTGGCTTTATCAAATTCCTACATATTATAAAAGTAATAGTTGTTAGCAAATATGCATACATATTTATATTCAAAACCCCACAATATTTAAAGAACAGGACAACTTGGACTGATTTGGCTGAGCATCCCGGAATGGATCTTCAGACCACCTATTTTAGAGACGCAATTTATATGCTGCAGTGCAAAAAAAAAAAAGAACCAACCCAGGTAGCTGGCCTGAACAAGGTGATTTAGCAAAAAGGAACTAGCTGTCTAGGATTAGCCAACAGAAAACACCAGTTATAAAGTGTCTGGACCCCTGGCTCCCTCCCTGCTCCAACATGGAGTGAAGCATCCACATCGCGCCTCTGTGGCCCAGAGCACCAAAGCTCCCTGCTCTTTCGAGCAGCGTTTTTGCTTTCCGACTAGAACAGCTAAAAGGGCCAAGAAGGGGCACCTTCCTCCTGCATGACATAGTCTGGTGGTTAGCAAACAACCCTCAGTGTGAGACATGGCCTTTCACGCCTCTTCACTGAGGCTACTGCTCGGTGCAACCAGAAACGGGTGAGCGCAGGGGCGCATGAAGGTAGCAGGGAAGTGCCCAACTTTACCCAGTGATGTGGAAACGAGCACTTGGCTGAGGGTTCCTCAGCTGGGGCACTGTTCATAAAAATATCTGGCCACTTAAATTAGACACTTTGAAACACACAAAAAAGCGATAATACTCAGGGCCTAAATCATGTCTGTTCGCTTCCAGCTGAGTGCCCCAACCACTTCAGAACACAGAAGGGATCACACCGAAAAGGAATGGGAAAACAACTCTCGCCCAGGTTACCGTATGATCCAGGGTCAGGCTTTCTCCTGGAGGGCTGGAAGCGACAGATGGGGTCAGTACCCTAAAGGTTAGGATATTATGCAAAAGGTATGGCAGAACTACCACTACCAGCCATGGATGGCTTTTTAAAATGAAAGTGGCAGTGACTGCAATGCTTTTGGATTTATTCAACGCTGCCAGCCTGCACCAGGTATGCCCTCAGAGGTCAGCCTCTGTAACAGGTTTAACCTCCCTCTGCATCATCTATGAAACAGAACCGAGCTTAGGTAAGAGCTAAACATTTACTCAGGCTGGGATACTTACATGCATGCCCATGAATGTACTTTATGACTCAAACCTTTGAGAATACTTCCATTTAGACATTACCTGCATTAAGCAGCATTCGAAAACACATATTTCATCACTCTCTTGGACTCGGAAACCTAAGCCTACCTTCTTTGGTAAAACAGGTTTTTTCCCAAAATGTCATCATTCCATATTTTTATTCCATATTTCTTTGTTACACATCAGCTGCACTGATATCAACTTGCAAACAGAACTATTTTTTTTTAATATTCAATTAACAGACTTAATCATTAGGCTAAAATGAATGAAAGTGGTTAACTTCTCCTACAAGACATGTACTGAATGTCCATCTTCTGTACAAATGAATCTGTTCTACAATATTTATCTAAAGTGTACTGTAAAAGTTTCTGTGACATACATCATCCCTCCAAGAGTAAACTGAACTTCTTTCAGTAGACAAACCAGTAGTATAGCTGTTTATTCCAGACCAAGAATTATTCAACTCCGTGGGTGTTGTACGACCACTAGATGAAAGTGATGAAAGTGATGAAAGTGTTTCACTGTGAAAAGAAGATCAATTAAAAAGAAGAACACAATGGATTTCTGTATAAACATTTTAAAAATAATGCAACTGATCACATAAATGGACAGTGATACGTATTCTCATCAGATGCAAGATTTTCAGGACATGCTGTTAGAGTAGATGTGAAGAGTTGCAAACGTACATTTTTAAGTAGAGTGCAATGAATACACTCTCCTATTTGTACCATTTACTGCCTTAAAGGCAATTCCTTCTACAGCATTACGCCTTTATATATATGTGTATCATTGCAACTGTAAGGGCACTCTAGACTATATCCACACATATATAGACACACACATGTACCAAGCATTTCCACCTCAAACAATTATTTTGTTTTCTCCAGTTCAGCTAATAGTTCACCAAAACTATACATTAAAGATAACATAAGCCTTCTTTAACTCTATTAGAAGCTATCACAAGAAAATGATGCAAAACATCTCTACAAACGTTTCAGATAGCATTGAGTTACATATATGTACACAACGTCTTCTACGCTGTTAGACCCAGTGCACGTTAAACCTTGAGTTCTGGGATTCCAGCTCTCAGAAAGCTCTAGCTGGTCCCTGCCAGCTACCACGCAGCCTAGGATGCAGTGAAAGCAAGGCCAGGCAAATCCTAACCAGTGCCAATGGGAATTAAACTTCTTGAAAGTTAGCTGACCTACAACGCTGGTGAGCATTATTTGTGTTTAACCATGAAGTCTGACTTCCCCTCCAGGCTTAATCAGTGCCCTTCGCTATGTGCTAAAAATACACAAATCTGTAACACAAACCAGGAGTAAAGTTCAAAACCTCTAAACAATGGGTCAAGTCAATTTATATCCTGCATTATATTCTGCAATAGTTGTCATCCATGAGAATGACTAGAAGAATGGCTAGTGAAAATGAATACCAATCTTGAAATACCTATTTAGGCCAAGAGACAGTTAATGAAGTATTATTTTGGAAGTGAACGCATACCAAGTATAATTGCCAATGGCTTCCTGCACATTTCTCTCAAAAACTGCTGGAAGAGACTCTCCACTTTTTCCAGAAAGACACTGATTTGTGGAACCTCTGGACAGTCCCTTCCTGTAAACACAGAAACACATAATTCCATAATATTAAATAAGGTTAACTCACACCACCACTTGGGGGGGAGGGAAGATGACAACAACTCTGTTGAATTTTTCAATCCTATCCATCAACAATCAACCTTGTTTTAAAATAGTTTTTATTTACACAAGTATTTTTCAGAAAAACATACATTTAATTTGAGACTTATTTTACTCCACAGGCATCCTCCTTCGATTTTGCACTTTAAAATTTGCACAAAGCACACACAAACGCAGCAGCGCCTCACTATTGCGGGAACAGAGCAAAGGCACAAGCCAGTAATTGTCCACACAGTAGTTATTTAGCTATGTGTTTCTGCTCAATCATTAACATAGAACCCATTTTCTCAGAAATCTCTCTGCATAAAAAGAAGTTGCAGATACGGTGCCAAGCAAACAGTGGCCTTTACTAAAACAATGAACTCTCAACTTGGCTGTTTTAAGTGAACCGAGATATTAGTATATCAGGAAACATGGGCATATTCTCAATACATTTACAGACCACAAAACATCAGCTCCTCCAGTACCAAAGACTCCTGAACACTGTATTAAAAACCAAGCCACAAACTTTCTAGTATTATGCCTTTCCAGCATAAGAAATGCTAGAACTTGTATTTTTTGGTTCTCCAAATACCTGAACACATGCTCAAACTTTAAAACCATCTCTTACAAACTACATGGATGAATATTAAGACACAGAACACACGCTCAAACTTTAAAACCATCTCTTACAAACTACATGGATGAATATTAAGACACAGAACACACGCTCAAACTTTAAAACCATCTCTTACAAACTACATGGATGAATATTAAGACACAGAACACACGCTCAAACTTTAAAACCATTTTAGTGAAGGAACAGACTTTTTAAAAAAAAAAAAAAAAACCCAAAACCAACAGAAACTTTATAATCATACATTTCTATAATCCCACTAAATTCTGTCATTAATATGTTAAACCCACCTCTTCAGAACATATACAGATGTGTCAAAGTGTTCCTCAGAAACACTTTTGCAGCAACAGATTACTTCCATGTGGAAGTTCCTATTTTCATCCCATAAAATCATCAGGTCATAACCATGAATAGCAGCATGATTGCATCAAAGTACATTTGTGAATGAGTAACTGTAAGGAAACAGCTCACAGTTCAAGAATTTTCTTGATATCTTTAGCCAAGAACTGTAGATAGGTCCTGCAACAGCTAGGATTGCTCTGCCTTCTTCTTATCCTTCCTAATATTTATCTTGCCTTTACACAGATTACAAAGATACATATCAAAAATCTAACTCCCCACTCAAATGGACCACATCACAAATCCTACTCCTATGCCTTGGCTAATAAGCCACCAAAAAACTACTACAAGTTTAAACTTCTCATCAGGAAAGACCTTGAACTGCAAATTCGTGGTGTCTGGTACAACAGCAGTGGAAAGCATCTCTACGTGTTTGCTCTAAATTTCCTTCCTCTTCCCTACGCATCTGCTTTTGGCCACTGTCAGAACCAAGAGGGCGTAAGAAAAGCAGCACAGTCCAGTCCCATCTAAACTTCATTTTGTCATAACACCAAGATCTCTCTCTCAGGCAATAACAGTGAGCTCACAGCCCATCTTCTACATAGAAAGCTGGTTCTTTCTGTTCATGTACATCCCTCTCTGCCATTTCTTTTGCCATGTTATTGCCCAGGCAGCCTTATAATGTCTTTCTCAATTTTTTTCATAGCTGACCCTTGGCCTTAGTATTTTTCTACAGCTTAATATCACCACCAAAGCCTTCTCACTTCACTGCTCATCCCTTTGCCTGGTCAAGTAGCTTGAACTGCCCAGGACAGATCCCTGTGAAACACCACTGGAAGAGGAAACCATTTACTGCTGCCCTCCGTTTCCTACCGTGCAAGAACCTTCTTTGCCTGTGCAAGAACCCTTTCCTCTTGCATTCCAGCCGCTTCGTTTGCTTGACAGACTTGTGGCAACCCAAGCTAACTACACTGATTGGATCCCCTGCATCTATAAGGCTTTCTGACTTCTCAAAGGACCCCAGGTGGGGCTTTTTTTTTTTTTTTGCGCTTTTTTTTTGTTTGTTTGTTTTTTGTTTTGAAGGAAGCCTGAAGCTACCAACATGAAAAAACAAAAATACCACCAATAAAATTTCATGGACTTTGTCTGTGAAACAAATGATACGCTTTATACTTAATGGCACGTGATGCGAGATGGATCAAAAAAGTGTTTCTGCCACATCATTCCACCGCATGCAGCGGTACTGCTCTTCCTGACTCCCTGGACCGCATGCCGTCAGAAGATGAGCCAGGAAACGACTGCAACAGACTAAAAGGAAAGGAAAAACCCCTCCCAGCACATCCATAGCACGCCTCCCCA